TGAAATATAACTCAAATGTCCTTCACACAGTGAATGGATAACAAGTTGCTATACATCCATACCATGGAATTCTGCTGAATGTTAAAAAGGAAAGAACCGAGTTCAGGCATTCAAAGTTGCAGCAAGCTATGATCACACCACTGCACTCCAGCCTCGGCAACAGAGCCATACCCTATCTCTAAACAAAAAAAAAAAATTTTAATTAAAAATAAAAAAAACTGCCAATACGCCCAACAGGAATAAATCTTAAGTGCATTATGCTAAGTGAGAGAAGTCAGATTCAAAAAGCTACATATACTGTATGATTCCATTTATTTGACATTGTGGAAAAGCCAAAAAATACTACAGGGAGAGAGGGACAGAAAACAGAACAATGATGGCCAGGAGCTGGGAATGGGGAAAGAGGTTGACAACAAAGGGGAACTAGGGAATCTGGAGAGACTCAGGGGACAGTTCTATAGTTTGATTGTAGTGGTGGTTACATGACTGCATACATTTGCCAAAACTCATTGAATGTACATTTAAAAAGGCAAATTATACTGCATGTACATTATTATTATTATTTTTTTTGTTTTGTTTTTTTTTTTTTTTGAGTCTCGCTTTGTTGTCCAGGCTAGAGTGAGTGCCATGGCGTCAGCCTAGCTCACAGCAACCTCAAACTCCTGGGCTCGAGCGATCCTTCTGCCTCAGCCTCCCGAGTAGCTGGGACTACAGGCATGCGCCACCATGCTTGGCTAATTTTTTATATATATATCAGTTGGCCAATTAATTTCTTTCTATTTATAGTAGAGACGGGGTCTGGCTCTTGCTTAGGCTGGTTTTGAACTCCTGACCTTGAGCAATCCGCCCGCCTCGGCCTCCCAAGAGCTAGGATTACAGGCGTGAGCCACCACGCCCGGCCTTATTATTATTATTATTTGACACAGAGTCTTGCTTTGTTGCCCAGGCTAGAGTGAGTGCCGTGGTGTCAGCCTAGCTCACAGCAACCTCATACTCCTGGGCTCAAGCGATCCCACTGCCTCAGTCTCCCAAGTAGCTGGGACTACAGGCATGTGCCACCATGCCCAGCTAATTTTTTCTATATATATTAGTTGGCCAATTAATTTCTTTCTAGTTTTAGTAGAGATGGGGTCTCGCTCTTGCTCAGGCTGGTTTCAAACTCCTGACCTTGAGCAATCCGCCTGCCTCAGCCTCCCAGAATGTTAGGATTACAGGCGTGAGCCACCTCGCCGGGCCCTGCATGTACATTAGACCTCAATAAACTTGACTATCCTGCAGATTTCTGAGCAGAGGAAAAAAATAAAAATAAATAAAACAATGAACTTGACTAAAAAAAGACAGCTCCCCCCCAAATGTTCATTGATTACAAAGGGGAAAATAATAAGTTTTACAGTAGAGAAACCTGATGCCATTCTAACCAAGGGATCAAAGTTAACATCACCAGTGATATGACAAATGGACATCACATGCATCCACTATGATGTGAAGGACATGTCACCTCTGTGGCTTTCTCTCTACCCTCAACCCCCTCCCCCAAATTATAACCTCAATCCAATCAAGAGAAAACATCAGACAAATACGAATTAAAAGATAGTCTACAAAATAACTGCCCGGTATTTTTCAAGTGTCCAGGTCACGCACGAATGACAAGGAAAAAGTAAGAAACTATCACAGATTGCAGAAGACTAAAGAGATATGACAACCAAATGCAACCTGGATTATTGGATTCTTGAATGGGGAAAGGTCTATTAGTGGAAAAAGAGGAAAATCCGAATGGAGTCTGCTATTTAGTCAAAAGTATTGTACCAATGTCAATTTCGTAGTTTTAGCAAATGTGCCTAGCAATGTAAGATGCTAACATTAGGGGAAGCGGGACGAAGGATATTGAAGAACTCTGCGCTATCTTCATAACTCTTTTGTAAGGCTAAATATACTTCAAAGTTAAAATGCTATTATAAGAATGAAACTGAGGAATGGGAGAGCCTGCCTATATTAGTTTCCTGTTGCTGCTGTAACAAATCACCGCAAACTTAGTGGTTTAAAACACCACAAATTTATTAGCATACAGTTCTTGAGGTCAGAAGTCTAAAATGGGTCTGCACGGCTGTGTTCCTTCCAGAGGCTGCCTGCATTTCTTGGCTCGCAGCCCCTTCCTCCATCTTCAAAGAGAGCAGTGGGGCATCTTCTCCCCTCTCTGACTTCTGCATCGGTCCTGACACCTTCTGTGAATCAGACCTTATTGCCTCCCTCTTATACAGACCTGATGATTACACTGGGCCCACCCAGGTAGTCCAGAATCATCTCCCTAATTTAGGGGCCTTAATTTAAGCACATCTGCAAAGTCCCTTTGGCCATATAAGATAATATATTCAAAGGTTCCAGGGATTAGGAGATGGACAGCTTTGGGGGCCATGAGTCTGCCTCCCACTGTGATGACACAAGAGAATTAGTTTGATAACATGAGCAGAGTCTGCAAGTAGAACAGGGAGTTGCTGTAGGAGGTTTGCAGAGAACAAGGACGGGTAACAGTTGTCTTGGAGAGACAGAGGGTACAATGACCAGGGACATGTAGCAGTGTTGGGCTGGAGTTTGGGGTCATGAATATAAAGTGATGAGCATTCCATTTTGGTCCAGTTCCCTTCAGTGTGCCCCTGGGCAGACACAGAGTAGGTGGGGTCTCACTATTGCTCAGATTGGTGTCCAACTCCTAAACTCAAGCAATCCTCCTGCCTTGGCCTCCCAGAGAGAGAGGATTACAGGCATGAGCCACCATGCCTGACCGAAATAACTAGAATTATGATAGTAGTTTTGGAGTGATGGACAGGGAGCCAGGATTTAAAATCTTCCATGAATGAGCAGGAGCGGCCAAAAGGCACCAGGATGAGTTCACCAAGGAAAGATGGGAAGAGGTGTCCATGAACAGCTTGAGTTTCAAAGAAGTGGGAGTGTCTGGGAGAGAGGGAGAATTATCTGGAAGTTGCAAGGAGGAGCAAGGAAGACACCTGCCTACTTCCAGACTCAGTAGTAGGAGGGCACAAGAGAGAAGGCTTTGGGGTCTCCTGGGAGGACAAGGGGTCAGTTAGAGTAGGAAGGTCAGAGAGGAAGGGGAGATGCTGCTGCCGACAGGCATGACTTCATGTCCCCCAAAAGGCTTGGGGTTGCAGAAAGATGGGAAACTGGTCAGGTTGAGGGTGTGCAAAGCTGGGAGGGAATTAGGAGCTGTGGGAAGAGGAGTCAGAAACACAAGACCCCATAATGATGCTACTTCGACTCAAGGAAGGGACTTGGGGTCATTACAGGTGCTCTGGGTTGACTTATAGAAGGTTCTGCCCTGCTGCAGAACACAGAAAACAGAGATCAAAGACTCGCAAAGAGTAGACGGAGGCAGGAGAGATGGAGGGACAGAGACCCAGAGAGAGGGACAACAGAGATCCAGGGAGAAGGTCACAGAAGTCCATAGAGAAACACAGCATCCCAGAAAGTAATGTAGACAGAGAGCAAGAATTAAGAATTAGCAGGGAGATCTAAGGCTTAGTGTCGCCCTCCATGCCCCCAGCAGAGGGCGCCCGGGACCCCTTTCCCTGGAGTCCAAGGTGACCAATCCGCCACCTCTACCCCTCGCAAGCCCATGCATGGGGCTATTTTTACGGTGTCATCAGACACCGGTGGCTGGAAGGCCATCGCCTCTTTGCCCTTCGGTTCTTGAGAGTGACCCTGTGGCATCTTCCCGGCCCACTCCCCACCCATTCCTGGCAACTCCTGCCTCCTTGTGCACTATTTGCAGGGCTGCGGCTCAGGCCCCACCAGGTTTCAGGAAGTCTCGCAGAGAATCCAGGTGGAGACGGCAGGGCAGACTCTGGAGAAAGGATGGGGTGTGGGTGCACTTGTTCAGTGGTTTGCAGCTGCCAGAACGACCCCAGGACAGGACAACCATCAGGACAGTGGCAGAGCTGACCAGGAGTGATGATGATCAGAGAGAGATCAAGAAATATGACTCCAGAGACCCTGAGTCCCCTACGTGTCCTAAGTCACTCCCAGTCATTCAGAGATACAGGGAGAGACTCAAAGGGAGGCCCCAGAAAAACCGTGGGACAGAGACATGGAAGGCTAAGAGATAATGAATGAAAAGAGATTCAGAAGGACAAGAGAAACAAAGAGATCAGGGAGATAAGAGATAAACAGAGACAGATCCCCCCCCCAACAAGAGTCAAAATAAAGACATTGGCAGGGCATGGTGGCTCACATCTGTAATCCTAGCACTCTGGGAGGCCCAGGCAGGCGGATCGCTTGAGGTCAAGAGTTTGAAACCAGCCTGAGCCAGACCTCGTCTCTACTATAAATAAATAGAAAGAAATTAATTGACCAACTAAAAATATATATACAAAAAATTAGCCGGGCATGGTGGCGCATGCCTGTAGTACCAGCTACTCGGGAGGCTGAGGCAGGAGGATTGCTTGAGTCCAGGAGTTGGAGGTTGCTGTGAGCTAGGCTGACACCACGGCACTGTAGCCTGGGCAACAGTGTGAGACTCTGTCTCAAAAATTAAAGAAAAGAAAAGAAAGACATAGATCCAGAGACCAAGACAAAGAATCTGGCAGAGACCCCCATACAGAGGCTCCAGAGTGACAAACCTCACAGATAACTGACCCACAGAGACAGAGAAACATCGCCAGGAGTGACAGAGACCCAAAGCGATGACCACGCTGAGCCACACCAGACAAGGAGAAAGATGGAAACTCTAATAGAGGACTCAGATTCTCATAAAGAGAGACAAGACACGCATATACGGCCACTTGGAGAAACGCAGGACCGAGATCCCGGGCGACGGGGAGAAAAAGGGAAAGAGGAGCTGGAAGCAGGGCAGAGCGGGGAAAGCGGAGGAGAAAGCGCAGCGCCAGGCCGCCGGGGGCAGGGCGGGAGCCCCGGCAGAGGGCGCCCGGCCGCCCTCTGCCCCGCCGGGGTCACGGCGCCCCCTCCCCCGCGCCCTGGCCGGACTGCAGGGCTATTTTTACGCCGACACCGGACACCGGGCTGGGTCGGCGGCGGCGGCGGCCGAGGCGGGGCCGCACCGGGCCGGGCGTCGGGGCCACACGTCCGTTCGCGGGTGGCCGGGGCTGCGCGCGCCATGGAGCCGCGGTGCCCGCCGCCGTGCGGCTGCTGCGAGCGGGTGGTGCTCAACGTGGCGGGGCTGCGCTTCGAGACGCGGGCGCGCACGCTCGGCCGCTTCCCGGACACGCTGCTCGGGGACCCGGCGCGCCGCGGCCGCTTCTACGACGACGTGCGCCGCGAGTACTTCTTCGACCGGCACCGGCCCAGCTTCGACGCGGTGCTCTACTACTACCAGTCGGGCGGGCGGCTGCGGCGGCCGGCGCACGTGCCGCTCGACGTCTTCCTGGAGGAGGTGGCCTTCTACGGGCTGGGCGCGGCGGCGCTGGCGCGCCTGCGCGAGGACGAGGGCTGCCCGGTGCCGCCGGAGCGCCCCCTGCCCCGCCGCGCCTTCGCGCGCCAGCTCTGGCTGCTCTTCGAGTTCCCCGAGAGCTCGCAGGCCGCGCGCGTGCTCGCCGTCGTCTCCGTGCTCGTCATCCTGGTCTCCATCGTGGTCTTCTGCCTGGAGACGCTGCCTGACTTCCGCGACGACCGCGACGACCCAGGGCTCGCAGCAGTTGCCGCGGCTGGCCCGGTGAGGGGCGGGGCGTGGTGGAGAGGGGCGGGGTTGGGGAGGTGGGCGTGGCCAGGGATCTGGCCAATCATAAGGCGGGGCAAGGGGCTGTGATGGGTAGGTCTCCCAGGGACAGAGAGACCTCGCTGCTGAAGCTGGGCTGGAGGCGGGGCCTGAGGATCCGGGTAGGGGGACCTGCCCTGTCAGGAGGTGGGGTGGCCCAGGTGAGAAACCGGCTGCAGAGGGCAGGGCCTTTGGTGCAGGGAGCAGAAGGAAGATTAAAAAATCGAAGCTGAGGGGACAAAGGAGAGCCTGAAGAATCCGGGGTCTGTGCAGCTGGCGCTGACCACTGGGAAGGATGGGATGGAGGTGGGGAGCGCAGGGCCTGAAGACAGCGAGCTGAGGCTGAGGCGGGGGCCGGAGTAGGAGGAGAACATCACACAGCAAGGCTGAGGGCGGAGAGTGGAGGGACCTGGGGTTTGGCCTGCAGAGAAGGTCTTCAGCTATTATAGTCCAGGCTGGGGATGGGGAGGGCAAGGAGAGGGTAGGCACCAGGAGGCGGGGCCAGGGCCAGGACGCTCCCCTTGTAAGAAATCGACGTTGGGGGCGCGAAGAGGTTGCACCCTACTCAAGCATCTTTTCAGGAGTCCCTGCCAGTGAAGGGTCAGGGACCCACTAGGTCAGGAGACCAGAAAGTCAGCCACCCAGTGATAATCCCTCGGGTCCTGGGAAGGGGCCTAGGACCACAAGGTTGCTGGGGGCCTTGGGGCAGTGGCTACTGACCCATCTGTAAAGAGAAGTTGGCTATTTAAACAAGGAATAAGGCTGTCTTCATGTCCCAGCCCTGGCCTGGCCCTCCCTGAACGTTTTCCTCCCTGCAGTTCCCTGCTCGCCTGAATGGCTCCAGCCCTGTGCCTGGAAACCCACCCCGCTTGCCCTTCAGCGACCCGTTCTTTATGGTGGAGACGCTGTGCATCTGTTGGTTCTCCTTTGAGCTGCTGGTGCGCCTGATGGCATGCCCGAGCAAGGCGATCTTCTTCAAGAACGTGATGAACCTCATCGATTTTGTGGCCATCCTTCCCTACTTTGTGGCGTTGGGTACCGAGCTGGCCCGGCAGCGAGGGGTGGCCCAGCCGGCCATGTCACTAGCCATCCTGCGGGTCATCCGATTGGTGCGTGTCTTTCGCATCTTCAAGCTGTCCCGGCATTCAAAGGGCCTACAGATCTTGGGCCAGACGCTTCGGGCTTCCATGCGAGAGCTGGGCCTCCTCATCTTCTTCCTCTTCATCGGTGTGGTCCTCTTTTCCAGCGCGGTCTATTTTGCCGAAGTTGACCGGGTGGACTCCCATTTCACCAGTATCCCGGAGTCCTTCTGGTGGGCAGTGGTCACCATGACCACAGTTGGCTATGGAGACATGGCACCAGTCACTGTGGGTGGCAAGATAGTGGGCTCCCTGTGCGCCATCGCCGGTGTACTGACCATTTCCCTGCCCGTGCCTGTCATTGTCTCCAACTTCAGCTACTTTTACCACCGGGAGACAGAGGGCGAAGAGGCCGGGATGTACAGCCATGTGGACACGCAGCCCTGTGGCACACTGGAGGGCAAGGCCAACGGGGGGTTGGTGGATGGAGAAGTGCCTGACTTACCACCTCCACTCTGGGCGCCCCCTGCAAAACACCTGGTCACCGAAGTGTGAGGGACAGTTGAGGTCTGCAGGACCTCATACCTCCTTGGAGGAGAGGGAGGGAAGCAGGGTGGAGGGAAAGGCTGGGGGGAGGGGATTGGGTTTAGGAAGAACTAGGTTAAGTGGTAATGAACCGGGGAACACTGAGTCTTGTTGGGTCTTGAGTTGTGTGGTTTGGTAGCTCCTGTGGGTACCTCCGTAAGTATCACTGAATGGCAGTGGGTCGTGTTGAGTTGAGGAGGAATCCATTGGTTCGTATTGCATTGAGTTGTGCAAAGCTCATGGGGCCTTTTGGGGTAGTGCTGAGATAGGTTTGGCCATACCTTCTGTGAGTTTCCAAGGTCAGTGTTAGGTTGGGTTGAGTTGTGAGTTTGGGTGAGTCTTGTCCAACTGCACTGTGCAGGATTCTGTGGTTTTATGGGTCCCGTAGGGCCATGGTGGGTCAAGTTAGGTGGTCACCCATGACATTGTTGAGATCAACTGTGCAGTCATGCGTGGTGTTGAGTTTCATTGAGACATGTGAGAAATTGTATGGCTTTGTGATTCTTCTAGGGCCGTGTTATTTTAGGTTCTGTGAACTTGTGAGTCATGTAGAAATGTGAAGAGTCACTTGATAGAATGTGAGCTTTCTAGGTCACATTGGGTTGGAATGGATGGCCAAATGAGTCTTGTAGGGTTCTATTCTGTTGAGTTGTCTAGAGTTATGTGGTTGTAAGCTTATCAGGGCCACATTGAGTTGAGCTGTGTTGAGATGTACAACAATGCAAGTCTTGTAAGGCCAGTTAGGTTGGGTCGTATGACTGTTCAAGTCTCATAGGGCCATGCTGAGTTGAGTTACATTGAGTTGTGTCATTGTGCGTCCTGTAGGAACGTCGGGTTGAGTCTGACTGTAAGGACGAGTTCCATAGGACCATGTTGGGTTGTTTCGCATTAAATGGTAGCACCAGGACCCAAGGGTAACAGTTCTGGGGGAGAATCGTGGATCAGGGAGCAAGTGTGTGGTGGTGTAGACGCTGGGAGATGTAGCAAGCTGGCTTCTCCCATGTTACTCATTGTAGGGGGCTTGGGGGGAGCTGGATTCTGTATCCACGGGTTCAGGTGTTCATCCAGAGGTGATCGGGGTGAATTAGGAAGATGTAGATGCTCCTTCTGTTTACTCACATCCACTTCATTTTGCCACCAAACCCCCTCCCCTCCTCATCCTCCCCTACAGTTTTACTCCCAGACCTGGAGGTCAGAGCCACAAGGGAAACGGAAGGGGGTGAGGGGAGAAAACTGTTTGTGCTGTGTCCACACATGATGGAGGGACAGAAACTTCAAAAGGTGAGGGACAGAGACCAGGAGAGGGATGGCGATCCAGACAGAGGAAGAGATAGACATCCGGAGAAAGGGAGACAGAGACCCAAAGAGAGAGGAACAGAAATCCAGAGTGACAGGGCAAAGACCAAGAGCGGGGGACAGAGACCGAGGGAGCAGTATCAGGCAGCCAGAGAGGACACTGAGAGTTTGAGACAGATCATAGAGTCTCAGAGAAAGGGAAGGGAAAAAGAAAAATGCAGAAAAAGTCAGTGCCAGCCGGGCATGGTGGCTCATGTCTGTAATCCCAGCACTTTGGGAGGCTGAGGTGGGAGGATCGCTTGAGGCTAGGACTTTGAGACCAGCCTGGGCAACACAGTGATATCCCATCTCTACAGAAAATAAGAAAAATTAGCCAGATGTGGTGATGTATGCCTATAGTCCCAGCTACTCAGGAGGCTGAGACAGGAGGATCGCTTGAGCCCAGGAATTGGAGGTTACAGCGAGCTGTGATCGGGCCACTGTGCTGCTCCTGGGTGACAGAGGGAGATCCTGTCTCTAAAAAGAAAAACAAACAAACAAAATAAAAACTCAGTGCCCCTGAATCTGAGAAAGACACAGTCTCTGTTCCATGGAATCATAAAGAGATCCTAAACCAGGCTGATCACCCGCTCCTCGCAGCTCAGGAAGGGTGGCAGACAGGCTGGTGGCCTCACTCTGCAAGAAACCTGAGTCTCAGAGCAAGGTCACACAGCACATCCCTGGTGGCCAGGACTGTGGCAGGCTGCCTGCTCCACGTGTCCCCATCAGCCTTCTGGTGCACAAGGGGCCTCCCGAGTCCAGAAGCCTCATTTCTCGCAGACAAGGGGACTGCGGCTCAGCGGGAACAGTGTTACCCAAGTCATGGAGCCAAACATTTTCAGAGGACTTTCAGAGCTAAAGGGCATTCGGAGAAGGGGAAGGTGGTTGTTGTCACTAACACATGTAGGGCTTCCTATGTGCCAGGTGTCACCCAAAGTAACTTGTATTAATTTATTAAAACCCATCCAGTGGTTTACAGAGTGTTGTTGTTATTTGTAGCTATAACCTCCCCTCCTTTTTTTTTGGTCAAATACAATCTTCCTTAGAGGTACCAGTGTAAAACATCGGAGGGGAGCTGGCTGGAGGGGAATATGCCTCCTTTCGAGTCCCCCTCTGTGACTCAAAATGCATCTACAGAATTCAGTTTGGAGCCCCCTGGTTTAATCTAAGCACCTTTCTATGCACCTAGAGAGAAAAAGGTACAGGTTGTGGGAAGAGTTTGACAATGGTTAAAAATAATGTAATCTTTAGGCCGTCACTTCTCTCTGAAATGGAGAGAAAGCCACATTTAGGGACAGAAACACAGACAGATCTCACAGTGACAAGAAACAAGGCAGAGTCTTAGACGCACAGACCCCAGCACAGAGACCCAAAGAAGAGGAGACCTGTGGAGAGGACCCCTGAGACCTGGAGAGACGGCAAAGCCCCAAAGCAAAAGTGAGAAAGCCTAGGGCAAGAGAGAACAGGGCAGAGGGCTGGGCGTGGGGACAGAGACTCCCAGAAGAGGGGGAGAATGTGACCCAGAGAGAGGGAGTCAGAGGCCCAGAGAGGGGGACAGAGATGCAGACAGTCAAAGACCCAGAGACAGACAGACAGTGTTTCCCAGCTACTTTTATTTGAAAACCATCCCTACGACCCCCCTATGACTGGGGGTTACACAGAGTCCTGGTAGGGGGTGGGACCTGCTGGGTGTTTAGGGATGGGGGTCAGGGAAATGTGGCGAAGTCAGAGAGGTGACCCGAATGGATACCCAAAGACTGGGAAGTGGCCCTTCCCCACCTCCAATAAACAACTGGAGCTGCCTCCTGTGTTGCCTTGGCTGGGACTGGGAGGAGGAGAGGGGAACACCCTAATCCGGGGACACCCTTCCTGCCACCTTGCCATGCTATATTTAGGTAGAGGGAGGGGTATGGGATGACCCCCCAAGGCGGCATCAGTTTTCCTTTTCTGAAAATAGCTCAGGGGGAGGGGAGCTCAGTGTCAGAGGTGTGGTAGGGTGAGGGCCCTGCTGGCCGTGTGACTGTCCCTGACACTCCGGCTCCCATGTCATCTTTTTCTTAGGGTCTCTCACTCTCTCTTGGGGGCTCTGTCACCCTCCTGCGGTCTGTCCCCTTCTCTGCCATGTGCGTGTCTGCCATCTATCTCGGTCTCTGTCTTCTTTCTCTGGGTTTCTGTCCCCCTTCTCTCTCTAGGTCTTTGTTCCCGTCTTTTTCTTGGTCTCTCTCCCCCTTTCTGCATTTCTGTGCCTTGTCCTGTCTTTCCCTTCTCTGTCACTATTCTGTTTCTCTAAGAGCAAGTCCTTCTGTTCCTAAAACTTATCTTTGTCTATCTCTGAGTCCTGTGATACCTTGAATGTCTCTTATCTGAGCTCAGGACAAGACCCTCTCTCCCTAGTCCCCACCCAGGAAATTCCAGGGGAGAGGATGATGTGGGACAGTCCCCCCCCCACGTCCACTGTCTCCCCGGCCTCGGGCCTTATCGCTGCCCAAGCCCAGCTGGTTAATGTCTGGCGTGGAGCTCCTGGGAAGTGGGGATGAGAGCAGAGGGTGGGAATCTGCCCCAGGATTGACACGGAATTGGCAAAAGACGGCAAAGGAATCTCAGACCCAGACTCCTGGGGCTAATGGAGAAGGGCGCTCGGGCTGAACTCCTGAGATTGAGAATTCAGGGGTCTGGGGGCTGCGTGCTCAGACTCCTGGGCTGGGGAGGGAAAGAAGTGGCTGGAACCCAGACCCCTGGGTCTGAGGGAGGAGGGGCTGGGGCTGGATCCCTGGGTGTGAGGGAGGAGGGGACTGGGGCCCTGGACCCCCAGGTCGGAGGGAAGAGGGGTTGGGGGCCCGGATCCCTGGGTCTGAGGGAGGAGGGGCTGGGGGCCCGGACCCCTGGGTGTGAAGGAGGAGGGGACTGGGGCCCTGGACCCCCAGGTCGGAGGGAAGAGGGGTTAGGGGCCTGGACCCCTGGGTCTGAGCGAGGAGGGGACTGGGGCCCTGGAACACAGGTCTGAGGGAAGAGGGGCTGGGGGCCCAGATCCCTGGGTCTGAGGGAGGAGGGGCTGGGGGGCTGGACCCCTGGGTCTGGGGAGGAGGGGCTGGGGGCCTGGACTCCTGACTCTGAGGCGGGCCGGCTTGAGCAAGCCTGGCCGGGCTTCGGAGGTCTCGGCACGCTCGTGCAAGGCGGGATCCCCCGGCCCCTCCTCCGCCGTCGGGCGCCGCCCCGCCCCCGACCCGGGCCCTCGGAGCGCGAGCAGCGAGGAGCCGGCGGGCCAGCCGCGTCCCTGCAGCCAGCGAGCGGGAGGAGGAGCTGTCGCCGCGCCCAGGGCAGCCGGGGCAGCCGAGGAGGGCGCCCCAGGTAAGAGCTTCCGCGCCTCCTCCTCCGGGATTCCGGCGTCAGGGTCGCCCTGCCCCCGGGTAGGGAGGGACGGGGGCGGGGCCGACGGGGGCGGGGCTTGGCGGAGGAAACTGAGGCAGGAGGGAAATGCCCCAGATGTGCAGCGGGTTCCCCGCAGAGGGGTCTCAGGAGTCTGGATCCTCAGCTCGAATCTTCTGGGGACACGGGGGCCTGGGAGTCTGCATTTCTGAGTACTCGGGGAGCAGAGGCCTGAACTCCAGAACTCCTGGGTCTGAGGGAGGAGGGCGCTGGGGGCCGGGACTCCTGGGTCTGGGGGGAAAGGCCGCGGGGGACCCACACTCCGGTGTCGGTCGGGTCAGCCTGCGCGCCTCTTCACTCCCACTCTTCCCATTTCGCCGTCTCCGCGCCAGGGCAGGCAGCCACTCCAGGTATGTGCGGGAGAAGTCTTGGGCGGGCCCTGGCCTGTCCTGCGAGGAGGGAACATTCCAACAAACAGCCTTGGGGACCCAGGGCTTCTTGAGTGTGGGCCCTCAGGGACCCGGTGTCCAGGCAGTTCTGCCCCCGCCCTGTCTGGGAGATGAATGGGCCGAGGGGGATGTAATCTTTCCCAGCCTCCTTCTTCCGCCGCCCTTCCCCTCCCGTCTCCTCCCCTCATCTGCTTCCCATCCCAGCCTGGAGCCATCACCTGGGCAGAAAGGGGCCTCTGGGAAGGGGCGCGGCCTTGACTCCTGGTACCCTACACTCTCAGAGGAACTGGGGAAGGGGGTGTTTGGGATTCAGGCCTCCTCCCAGCTGCCTGTACAACCTGCCTGTTCTCTTCTTCCCCCTAGCTGGTTGCCCCTCCCTCTTCTGAGATGTCAGGAAGGAGGGAGCCACCGGTGTCCTCCACAAGGGCCCCCCGGAATCTGGGGGCCCCCAGCCCCAGAGCTCGGAGGTGGAGGAGGTGCTGACAGGTCAGGTAACCACTGGCTGCTTATCCGTCCTCTCCACGCCTCCCTTTCCCAGGACCACAGGCTTCCAGAATGTTGCAGAGAACCTGCAGCATCTACACCCCCAACCAGGCTCTCCCGGCCCCGGGTTAATTTCACACACAGGGAAAGTGACGCCCAGCCCGAGAGGGGAAGTGTCCTACCTTGTTAGTGGCAGTTTGGAGCTGAACTTGCTCTCCCAAGGATTCCAGATTGTGGCCTTTCTCAAAATGTTGGCAGGTCACTGGGCATGGTGGCACAGGCCTGTGGTTCCAGCTACCTGGGAGGCTGAGGCAGAAGGATTGGTTGAGCCCAGGAGTGCAAGGCCAGCCTGGGCAACGTAACAAGACCCCGTCTCTTAAAAAAATTTTTTTTGGAATGTCCTCCAGGCTACAGGACGTAGGATTCCTCTGGTTGTAGAGGCAGGATGACAGAGTGGAGTTGCCCAGCCAGGGTTTAAGTCCCTATCTGCCATTTGCTGGCTGTGTAACCTGGGCCAAGTCATCGACTTCTCTGAGCCCCATGTATTTCCCCATTTGTTGGCTATTAAGTAATAGTAGTTGAATAATTATTAGTCTAGAAGTTGGACATCATCTAAGTCCTAGAGTATAGGGTCCCCCAAGGTTCTAGAACAAGGGCTTCGCCACGGTTCTGGTATCAGGCCTCCCATGCAGTTCCCACTTCTGTCTCCCCTTAAATTTTTACCCTCCTCTCTAACCCAGGTCTCCTTCTCTGTCCCCAGGTGCTCCAAGAGATGCTCCCCGTCCCCTCATGCTCCCTTCCCATCCTCCTCCTCTTCCTCCTCCCCAGTGTCCCAATGGAGCCCCACCCCCCACCCTCACCACTGCCCCCATTCTTAGCCCCTGAGTGGGACCTCCTGTCCCCCCGAGTAGTCCTGTCCAGGGGTGCCCCTGCCGGGCCTCCTCTGCTCTTCCTGCTGGAGGCTGGGGCCTTCGGGGAGCCAGCGGCCATCCCAGCCAACCGCAGCCGGCGCGGGGTGAGCGAGACGGCACCAGCGAGTCGCCGCGGCGAGCTGGCTGTGTGCGACGCAGTCAGCGGCTGGGTGACAGACCGCCGGACAGCTGTGGACCTGCGTGGGCGCGAGGTGGAGGTGCTGGGCGAGGTGCCTGCGGCTGGCGGCAGTCCCCTCCGCCAGTACTTCTTCGAGACCCGCTGCAAGGCTGATGGCACTGGGGAAGGTGCCCCAGGTGGGGGTGGAGGGGGCTGCCGGGGTGTGGACCGGAGGCACTGGGTGTCCGAGTGCAAGGCCAAGCAGTCCTATGTACGCGCGTTGACCACTGATGCCCAGGGCCGTGTGGGCTGGCGATGGATTCGAATTGACACTGCCTGCGTCTGCACACTCCTCAGCCGGACTGGCCGGGCTTGAGGCCCAGCCCAGGAACTGGTCAGGCAGAGACAGAACAAGGCTGGATGCTGAGGGACCTCACAGGTGGCCTGGCTGCTCCAAGGGCCTCAATTTGGGAACTTGTCAAATGATCACAAAATCACAGCTTTCTGATTTTGAGAGCTCAATCTGTGCAGGATGGGCGATGAAACTAAATGGGGTTTTGAAGGATGAATAGGAGTTCTCCTGGAGGAATTTGAGGGTAATAATGATGATGGTAACAATAATGGCCAGTATTTACTGTTTACTGTTTATCTGTTTATCAGCCCTAATACATAACTCCTCAGATCAACTGTCATAGATTTGACCATCCCAGACCCTTGGCTTTAAGTTGCTGACCACTCAATCTCAGAGGACACCACTTTGCCCACCCTGGTGACAGGGAAAAGGAGGGGATATATCAAGAAGTGAGCGGGGGAGGATAGAAACTGGAACAGGCTAGCAACCAGCCGAAGGACCTTGAGGACATGGTCCACAGGAGGCCTCTCAGTATCTGGGAGCTGGAGGTCAAATGAGAAATTTACTTGGCGAGAGAGGGCAAGTGTTGGCTTAGCATAGTTTGTTCTGGGGTCGTAGTGAGCCAGTTGTCACAATGGTAGCACAAGCGACGTTGAGTCATAAGAGGTCAGGATGCTGGAGAGGTCAGCTTTGAGCAGGGAGCTAGAGTCGGGTTTCTACCCCTTCTTTCCCGTCCCAACCTTTACCCCCCCATTGGCAAAGAAATAGACCTTAAATTTGTCCAGCTTGAGTGGGACATGAGATTCTGACCAATTGGCCTGCCCCCTGGCTAGGATCAGGGGTCATTGGACAGGGAGAGGCCAGCAGGAGGGGAGGGGAGGTCACTGGGACCCTGGGCCAGGCTGCAGAAGGTGGCCTCAGCTTTCCCCATCTGGGAAATGGGCTGGTGGGATGAGAGAATGGGGGCTGAGGAGGCAGAGGCCTTGACCAAAAGCTCTTTATGGTGAGGAAGTGGCAAGGTAAGGCAGGGACAGACCCTACTCTCCAAGCACCCCTGCATGTTTTAACACTCTATTGCCAGCCAACATAGACACACACACACATATACCCATGCGCACACACACTTTTAAGTTCAGCTTTTAGCTAAGGACATAGATGTCCCCTTCTCCCTCCTCCACATCCCACATCCGGGATCTCTGGACAGGGGTCTGGCTGTCTCAGTTTCTGTACCTCCTTGTTTTAGATCTGTCATTGCCACCTCCTTCTGTCTCTTGTCTCTGGGTTAGTAGTTTCCTTTCTGTCCCGTCTGTTTCTCGCTCACTCTTACCCATTCTTGTGTGTATCTTTTTCTCACTCAGCAAAGCTCTTTCACATGTCCCTCCTTTTGTTAGACAAGGTCTGGCTCTGCTGCCTGGGCTAGACTACGGTGTTGTCATCATAGCTCACAGCAACCTCAAACTCCTGGGCTCAAGCGATCCTCCTGCCTCAGCCTCCCGAGTAGCTGGGCCTACAGGTGTACCACCACACCTGGCTAATTTTTAAATTTTTTGTAGAGATGGGTTCTCCCCACGTTTCTCAGGCAGATCTTGAACTCCTGGCCTCAACCCATCCTCCTGCCTTGGCCTCCCAAAGTGCTAGAACTACAGGTGTGAGCCACAGCGGCCGGCCTTGCCCCACTTTTTTGCTAAGTATTTCCCAGTGTATTTCTCTGTGGGTCTCTCCCTCTTCACCCAAACCCATACCCAGGTGGAAGTTTTCAACCGAATCAAAGGCAGGAGGGACAGCCAGCAGGACTCTTTCAGCACCCAGGGAGGCTGGGGGAGCCCCAGGGACGTCTGGAGATCATTACCCCGGGATGGGCAGGCCTGGCAGAGGGAAGAGGCAGCCAGGAGCGTTTGGACTCTGTAGGAAAGAGGGTGTTCCTCATGGATTCCCTGATGGGCTGGGGGGAGTCTGTGTCAACCCCTGACCCCCATCTTTCTCTGTTGCACCTTCTCTGGGTCTCTGTCTCCCCCACCCCCTGGGTCTCTAGATCGCTGAAACGGGCCCTCTCTCTGAACCTCTACTTCCTTTTCCCCTTCTGCCCTCCTGTGTCTGAGCCTCCACCCCGTCCCCGTGTTTCCCTGTGTTCCTGTGCCCCTCTTGGGGGCCCTGTCCCTCCATTCCTGGATCTCTTTCTCACTCTATCTAGCCACATGCCTGCTGGCCTTTCATTGGCCGGGTTCAGGGTGGGAGGGTTCTGTCACCTGGGGCAACAGCAACAACAAGCGTGCTCCTGCTTGGCTCGGGTGGGGGTGGGACCATGGCCGGTCGCACTCTAGCTCTGCGCTATGGGCCCCCATGGGCCCCCGTCACTGGAACTGAAATGCCTGGATCCTGGCCCAACTGGCATCTCACCAGCAGCGGCGTTGCCCACCACATTATCCCAACTGTGTCCTTTCTCGCGCCCGCCCGGCAGGTGAGAGGACCCTAGGCTGAAGGAGGGGCTGCGGATCCCGAAACCTGGCTGCTGAGGAAAGGGGGGCTTGGGGGGTTCGGCTCCTGTCTGAAGGGGTAGGGTCCCGGAGTCCCGGGTCTGAGAGAGGAGGGGCCCAGGAACTTGGATGTCAGGGACTGGAGAGAGGAAAGGGCTGGGGGCCGACCGGAAGAGGGTAGAGCTGGGGGTGGAGGAGCGGACTCCTGGGTCTTTTCAGCTGAAGTCCGGCGCCTTCTGCCCAGTTCACGGTCGCAGAGCCCCTACCCCCGGCCGGACAGAACGATCCGCACATCTGGGCTTTCGACGAGGTCATCAGCAGATGGGAGACGACCTCCGGCTCGGCTTACGTGCCCAAGAACCACGGCGGGCCTTACGCGCAGCTGCGGGCCACAGAGTTTGCGGATCCCAAGCGGACTCTGGGAATCAAGGATTTAGGAGAAAAGGTAAGGTCCTGGGATGGCGTAATCCGCGGGGGACTGAGCTGGGGACCGCACTGGAGTCACCTGCGCCCTCACGTTGGGTGTCTGGGTCGCCTTCCCGCAGCTCAGACACCGCAGCTGGCGCCTCCCTGTGAGCACGAAGTACCAGAGAAGCGAGACGAAGGCGCAGTACACCTGCTGGCCCGACCCGGACCCGGGCCCCACCGTCTACGTCGGGCCCCAGCCCCTGGAGCTGGCGGACCACCACCGTGGGGGTCCTTCCCAGGTAGCGAAGTGGAGCGACAGGGCTGGCCAGACCCGGCAGAGCTGGGGGAGTCTGGGGCGGGGCCAGGAGGAATTTTGATTTTGGGGGCGTGGCTAAAGGGGCGGAGCGGGATCAGGAGGTTATTGAGGGACTTGGACTTCTTGAGGCGGGGCCAGGAGGCTGGGACTGGAAACCCGAAATCCGGGCTCTGAGGCTAGTGCGGAGCTAGACAACCCACCGTAGGTGGGGGGACAAGGCTAGGTGACACTTTGCCCCCGGAGGCGGAGCTAGAATATTCTGAGACGGGGTCAGGTTGGAAGGTGGGAGAGGTAAAGGGGAATTTTTGCCCAAAATGCTGCTGAGCTCTGGTGGTGGGACTGGGCTTTGTTTGTGGCTGGGAGCATAGATTTGAGTTCCTTGACCAGCAGGAGTGTTTGGATTTAAGGGAGCGAGGCTGGTAAGGGTGCTGATTTGAGGAACGAAGCTGAAGTACCCTAGCGTGGGGACTGGACAGGAAGGATTCTGGTTCTGGGGACCGGGAGTTGAGGGGTAGATTTCCAGCAGGGATGTTGAGATGGAAGAAGTCTGGGACCCAGGGCTTGGAAGGGGGCTTGAAACCCTTCTCTTGCTCATCCCTCCCCCCTCCCAATCTTGCTCAGGCTCTAATTCCTTGGACGAAGAACGCAGAGCTGGCAGGTCGGCCGTTCACAATATCCGATCGGGGTGTCCTGGACCGCCACCAGCTCTATCTGACCACATCGGCCCGGGATTTCTACCCGAAGTGAGCCGGGGTCCTCGCTCCGCACCGCCCTCCTGCACAGCATCCGTGCGGGCGGTGGGACGCCGAACCCCCTGGTGTGGCTCCCCGTCTGTGACTCAGTAGTCTCAGCCTTCAGCTCCTGCACACGCAAGCACCGAAGTTCAGACCTCAGCCCTAACTCTTCAAGCACCCAGGCGTCTGAACCTAAGCCTTGTGGGGGGGGATCTAGCCGGGTCCTCCCCATCCTGCCGCCCTCCCACAGGAACCAGCTGTCCGGATATCCATGCAAGGACTCGTCGACTTCTTCGAGCTTCAAGGAGACGCCCCACGTCTGGGATCACGGCTCGCGGGTCCCGCCGTGTCCGTCGCGGATCCGCGTGCCCCGCGCGCGCCCCGTGAGGCAGCCCGTGCCGCACCGCGGGGTCCTCTCTCTGGCTCGGGAGTCCTACAGCCTCCCGCTGCATCCACTGCGCGGACTCGACCGCTTCTGCCCGCTGGAAGCACCCTGGGGCGGCCCCCACTGGAAGCCGCTGCCGGGCATCTACAGCGTGCCAAAAGCCTACAGCACCGAAAACTCCTGCTACGGCAGCTCCAAGCCCGCGCGGGTTTGAGCCCGCCGGGCAAGCCCCGCCCCGGACGCGCCCCTTGTGGGCGGAGCCAAGCCTGGAGGACGGCGACTGGGCGGAGCTGAGGTCAGGAGCCCCGCCCATCACGTGAGAGCGAAACCGCTTGGGCCACACCCACTGACTCTATTGGCCCGTGGGCGTGGCTAAACATAGACGTGCCCACTCGGTTGCTTCAGGTTTTGGGGAGATTAGGCCCAGAAAATGCACGTCGAGGCTGTGGACACGCCCCCTGCGGGAGAGGGGGCAGGGCTTGCCTTAATCAATGAGTTAAATAGCTTAAATCACATTTCCCAGAGAGCTCCTGGCATTCTGGCTTATGGGGGCTTGGGGTGAGTGGGAGATGGGGCTCAGGCTGAATCCCTTCTTGTGTGCGGGGGCATCTGTGTGCAAACGGCTCCGGCAGAAGCTAACATCGAAGCCACGCCCCTCCAGAGAGGTTGCTCTGTGGCAGAGGGACAGACAGCTGCTGTCTTTCAGTGTCAGGTGGAATAGGGTTGAGGCTTCAGCCCAACACCTTTCTAGAGGAGCGTCCCACAGCCTTCCCTCATGATGGCCAGAGGCAGGTTTCCTACACTCTACTTCCTGTGCTTCTGACACCAGCTAGTCGCTAGGACCGGGGGACCGAGAGTCTGTGAGCTCACCTTGGTAGTGCTGTCTCTCCCACTGGAGCCACTAAGGGGAGAGGGGTGGTGTGCTCGCTCAGCCCCTCCTGTGCCTCCCTGACCTTGTCCACCTCTCGCCCCCAGGGGATTAGTGTCTAGGTTACCTCTGCAGTGCTGCCACCCACCACCCAGTGGCCTTGCCACCCCCACAACCCACAGGTATAAAGCCAGGTAGACGAGGTAGGGGTGGCGCCAAGGATGGAGACGCTCCAGGTAAGACCATAGGGCCCCTGACCACCGTCCACCTCCATCCTGGACATAATTGGCACAAAGAGGGGCAGACTCCTGTAACCTGGTAAAGAAGGCCTGTTTTCTAGAAGGGTGTGACAGCCAGCAGGCTCCAGATGGGGCTTAAGGGTGGGTATGTGAAATGGGACATCTGGGGTCCCTTGGGCCGTGGGGGGTCCAGAATGGAAGATATCCAGCAGGGTCCCTGCATCCTTGAATGCGGTATCTTAGGGAATGGGAGGATAAGGGCTCAGGGCGGAGGTCTCAGGCAGGATCTGAGGCACTGGTCTTGTCCCAGGGGCTGCTGCTGTGGCTGCTGCTGAGCATGGGTGGGGCGTGGGCGTCCAGGGGGCCACTGCGGCCGCTGTGCCGGCCCATCAACGCCACCCTGGCTGCCGAGAACGAGGCCTGCCCCATCTGCATCACCTTCACCACCAGCATCTGCGCCGGCTACTGCCCCAGCATGGTGAGCTGCCGGGGCTGGCAGTGGCCTGAGAACAGGTGCTACCACCTCAGTGCCAGGGTGGAAAAGCCAGACCCAGAGGACAGAAGGTGGCATGGGGTTGGAAGGGTGGTCTGGTCCCCCTGGCAGGAGCTAGGAAATTGGGTGTGTGGGACGGAAGGTGCAGGGGTCCCCTGGACACCTGAGTCTGGAGTCGGTGGGGGCAGCTGGGGAGCTCAGGCGAGGACCTGACCCCAGGCAGATACCCTGTCCCCCCACCCACTTGGCCTCCAGGTGCGGGTGCTGCCAGCCGCCCTGCCCCCCGTGCCGCAGCCGGTGTGCACCTACCGTGAGCTGCGCTTCGCCTCCATCCGGCTCCCCGGCTGCCCGCCTGGCGTGGACCCCATGGTCTCCTTCCCCGTGGCCCTCAGCTGTCACTGTGGGGCCTGCCGCCTCAGCAGCTCTGACTGCGGGGGTCCCAGAGCCCAACCCTTTGCCTGTGACCACCCCCATCTCCCAAGCCTCCTGCTCCTCTAAAGACTCCAACCTTCCACGCCCACCCCAATGGAGCCAGCAGACGCTCCATTCTCCCACCTCCCCAATAAAGCCTTCTCAATCTGCACTCTGGGGGTGTCTTTCTCGGGGCTCAGGGCGACAATACACACACTCACACACAAAATGGGTTCAACTTCAAAACCATTTTATACAAAGTCACAGTGTCAGAACTCTGGTAGAAAACAAGGCGGAGGGGAGGGTGCGGGGGGCAACCAGCTCAGGAGGTGTCCATGGTTTCACCTTCTGTGGAGAGAAAGGAGGCCATGTGGTCAGTGTGGCCCAGAGGGTGGGACCTGAGCTTTCTGGGCCAAGCTCACTACTTCTCCCTTGGAGGGAGACACCGAGAGTGCATGGCACAGGGTGGGGACACTCACTGAGCTCGTTGAAGAGGAAGGCGTCCTGGTATTCCTTCATGTACTGTGTGGAACGGGACTCGTCCAGAAAGAGTGAGTAGACCCGTTTGATGTCATCTACCTGCACCTCTGTGCCCTGGTGGGGGACGGTCAGTCCTCAGTGGGGACCTTCTCTGTGAAACCCACTGCACCCAGCCCCAGCCCACGCCACCTCCACACTCCAGGCAGCAGAGGGTGGCAGATAAGGGAAGGGATTCTAGGTCAGATCTCATAGGTTCAAATCCTGCCTCAGTCACCAGTTTCTTCATCTGTAAAATGGACTTGACAGCACCTACCTGCAGTCAACCGATACCTACTGAGCACCCACCATAGCCATGCCAGGCCACACAAAAGCAAATAGGAGGGACGAAAATCCCCTGCCTGTGAAAACGCCACCCCACGGGAAGCCCTGGGGGTGGGCAGCAGGCCGCCGGCTCACTCGGCTGACCTTGCGTTTCCGGCACACCAGGCTGGCGGCCGTGATGAGCTGGATGGCGTAGCGCAGCGAGGTCTCCAGCCCGATGCGGGTCAGCACTGTGTAGGCGTCCTCGCTCATCTCCACGTCTTCCTCCTCGCACCTGCGGGCAGGTGGGGCAGGGGGTGGCTCAGCCGGGGCAGCTGATGAAGTGGCCACAGCATCCCCGGTCCTCTCCTCCTCCTCAAGGAAGGCATGGAGTCTGAGGCTCAGAACCAGGGTGCGGAAGCTGGAAGAGCCACTGAGGCCAGGGCAGGGATAGGCTGGACCTGAAACCTAGGCTTCCTGGCCCCCACCCAGGGCCCTGTTCCCCACCCCAGTCACCGGCACCTCCCCTTCCTTCCCTGCAGTGGCCTCCACACCCAGATCAGAGGCCACTGCCTGGATGCCAGCTCAGCCCTCTCTTCTTGCAGGCCCAGCAACCTCGGGCCAGTCACACACCCACCCCAGACCCCAATGTCCCATTTGTCAAACTGGGTGGACACCAGCCCTGCCTCTCAGGTGCACGGCCTGGTCCTGCCCGCACCGGATGCGGAGGATCTGCTTCGTGTCCTTCTCGCTGTAGGGAGCGGTGGAGACGATGAGCAGCCGGTCCAGCAGGTCGATGGGGATGCCGTGGGGGCTCTGGTAGCTGGTGCCCCGGATCCTGCGAGAGGCAGGACGGAGGGCTGTCAGGGCGATGCTCCTAGAACCCAGCTCTCTGTTCCCTCTCCTCGGGTACTCCCACCTCCCCCCACCACAACCCACTCGCTGGCCCAAATGCCATGTAACCTTCAGCCCACGGCTCCCGTCACCTCCTGACGTCACCTCCTGGGCAGCCTTCCCCAACTGCGTCAATCCCCGAGGGCACCCTCCCGCAGAGCCGGGGCTGGTTTAGCGCAGGTATCTATGTCCAGGATTACTGGATCAAGGTCCCATTTCCCCCGCTCAATGCAAAGCTGCACAAGGGAAGGGACTGTGCCTGCCTTGTTCCCTCCTGCACCAGGGCCAGCCCAGGACTGGCACTCGGCGGGCGCTAGGAGCTACAGTCAATGCCTGTTACTCATAGTAGGTAGGTTCTAAAACTGCTGCAAACACCCAATTCGCGAATCCTTAGCCATTGCTCCTGAGAGAACACAGGGTGAAGTTCCCGCAAGCCTCTGGTCACAATATTTTCATCAATCAATATATAACCTCAGCTAAGTGTGCTTCTGTTTAAAGACGACTTATTTGGTAAATATTGTTGATTCACCAACAGTGGGCTCACATCAATAGCACCATAACTTATGCCCGAACGAAGCATCCATCTCTAACACGTGTATTTTCTCCCAAAAGGCACATCATAGCTGTCTTGCACTTAGCAATACCAGACAGTACTTCAGCACTAAAATGTCCCTTGACATTTTAGTCACACCAAAAATGACAAATGTAGTGCTAAATAGATCACAAAAAGAATGCTTTGTTTACAGTAGGAGAGCTGAAAAAAAGCAGGTAGTGTCACCTCATTCAACCTCAGCTGGGAATGTACGCATCAGATGACTCAAATTAGTGGTGCAAATATTTATTTGGGGATTACAAATAAATGGTAGCAAGTAAGCAGATTCACAAATACGGAATCTGCAGACAATGAGGGCTGCCGTATCTGTTCCTCCTCTCGGGAGATGGCCCTGGGCAGCCCCACACCCTGATCTGCACCTGCTGCAAACTCTGTCAGCTCTGAGTGTCTGTCCCAATGCCCAGCCATTCAGAGAGCAAATTCTGGAACTGCCACCTTCTAGACATGTGACCTTGAGCAAGTCACTAGGCCTTGCTGTCCTGATCTGTAAAATGGGGCCAAGATAATATCTACCTCCTAAGCTACTTCTAAGGGTCACAGGAACTCATTCAGGGAAAGAGCTGAGCACAGAGGTAGGACAACTGCCCACTGTCCCAGTAGCCATGCCCTCTTCTTGTGTTTCATGATATCCACCCCCACTGCCCAGTTTCAGCTGGGGCCATGGCTGCAATGCTGGAGCCGACAGTCCCCGGCCCCCCTCGCAGCCAGGCACGGCCATGTGCCTGGGCAGTGCTGGTGGAAGTGTGGGGAACAGACAGAGATCCCAGCTTGCCTGGGGCTGCTTGCCTTCCACATCCCCCCACTCTATGTGAGCTGAAACATAGACGAGGTGGAGAGGAGAGCCAGTTGGGCCAATGGGGGGCAGGGTGCCCGCAATACGCAGGGGGAAAGAGTCCCACAATGTATCAGGGCATGGTGTCCTTCGTGTCTCAGGAATTTTCCACAGAATCTTAGGCCAAAATAACAAATAAGAGGCCAAAATAACACTAAGAGTTCTATTGATTAAGTAGTTAGGTCTAAGTGACTTAATAATTGTAGTGGTTTATGTAGTAACTAAGACATGGCACTGTGCTTCCCTCAAAATCAAAAAAACATCCCACAGCACTCTTGTGAGTTTCCTGCAGCACCCTGGGGTGCAGCGGCACAAAGTTTAGGAATTGCAGACTTAAACACTGTAGGAACAATGAGACAGAAAGAACATGGTCCCTGGACACCCTTGTGGAGCAGAGTTGCCTACGTTCCTACCTTGTTTAAGGGAAAAGCACGTGTCTGAGCCACGATGGTCACAGTACCCTACCTAACAAGGTGCCCAACAAACGCTTCCTGCTCCCCCTGCAGCCAGCTCACCGTGTGATGCCACGGTTAGTGGCCATGATGAGGACAGGTGCCATGTCGCTCTCCAGGGCCCGGTTGAGGAAGGAGAAGCTCTCAATGTCCAGCATGTGGACCTCGTCGATGAACAGCACCTGGGAGCCATTGGGCATGTGTCAGACTCACTGCCCACACCCCTCTTCCCGGTCTGCCCCCCACCCCGCCACCTGCCCTGGCCCTGTCCTGGGTACTCACCCCAGGGATGATCTCTGCCTTGCCCTCCTCACGCCACTCAGCCACCTTGGCATTGATCTGTTCTCGGACTTCTGACTTGATCTCCCCTGTGTCACCTGTGGGAGGCACAGGTGGCATCGGGGAAGTCAGAGAGGAGACAGAAGTCTAGGGCTGGATAGTGGGCGAAGATAAGAGAAAGATGGGATGCCAGGGACACAGGAAGGAGGACAAGCGACAGGAGGGTCATTGAGTCTGAAACGTCCTCTGAGAGGAGGAACAGCAGCAGAGGACCTAGTGGGGAGTGAGGCCAGGGACCCCCATCACATGACCTGAGGGAGGGACTCAGACAACAATGGTGGGGCAGGGACAAACTAAACTCACAGAGGGAGATACCGGCAGCCAATAGAAACAGAGGCAGAGAAAAAAGGCTACGGAGTGAGTGGGCCGTCCTGGGGGCCCACAAACAGGGGGAGCCTGAGGGGAGCTGCCAGGCCTGGGGCTGGGACAAGACAGGAGGGGACAGGGAGGGAAGGGCTTCACCTGAGAAGAGAGCCAGGAAGCCCTGGGTGCGGGAGTTGATGACGTCGATCTCGTGCAGGGACACGGTGTGCACCACCTCCTTGCGTTTCTGGAGCTCTCCGTCGGGGCACTGCACGAACTTGGTCTATGGGGCCGAGGGGCAGGGTAGAGAGGGCATGAAGGGGCTCCATAGGCCTGTCTCTCTCTGGAGGAGATTGGAGCCCCCTGGAATGGGGATGGGAGGCCAGATGGGGTCATCCCAAAACCTCAGGCCCAAAAGGTAGTCAAGACTGGGGGCATTCCAGAGAGCCGAGGTTACGGGGACTGCTGGAGGACCTAGAGACCGTGGCAGTGGGGAGCTGTACTGCCAGGTTAAGGGGTCCCAAATGTCCCAGGATTACAGGGAAGACCCAGGAATACCAGGGACATAGGGGTCAGGGGGACAGGAGGATCCAGACCCTATGGGCCATGAGGGTGATGGAGGAGATGGAAACATCCCAGTGCTGGGGGAAGGGGGTCCCCAGAGGCCCCTGTGCACCTGAGAGCCCATGGCGTCGTAGTCACGAGCACGTGTGAAGGAGCGACCCAGCTTAGAGATCTTGCCTGTTGCCTTGTCAATGGTGATCACGTCCCTGAGAACAGGAGGGAGGGCAGGAGTGAGGAGAGAAAGGGTCCACACTCTCCCACAGTCCTGGCCGCCTGGCAGGGCCACCAACAGCTCACCCTGCCTGGACCTTGTCTTTGGTCAGGGACTCGATCATCTTGGTGCCCAGGTCATAGATGGTCTCCATCTCTGTGGTCTTGAGGGTCAACTTGCCCAC